ATTCTACTTTAGTAATATAATTCCTATTTTGTTCAGGGAAATATACTTTTTTAAAAATATTTTTTATTTCATTATTTTATGCGTATGACTGTATTGCCTGCATGTAAGTGCACTAGTGTCATGCAATGCCTACAGAGGTCAGAAGAGGGCATCGGGCTCCCCTGGAACTGGAGTTATGGACAGTTGATAGCCACCACGCGGGTGCAAATCGAACCCAGGTCCTCTTCAAGAGCACCAGTGCTCTTAACTGCTGAGCCATCTCTCAGACCCAATAGTATACTTTTTAAAGTCAGGCATGGTGGTTCACACCTGTAGTCCCAGGTGGCTGAGACAAGAGGATCATCACATGTTCAAGGATACATGTTAACTTCAAGATCAACCTGGGCGACAGTTGAGGCCCTATCTCAAAAAACTAACCACCTACCTACCAACCAGCCACCACTACCAACAACAAAAATCCCAAGTTCATGTGCCAATATTGACCACATGTCAAAATTCTAGTCCTTGGAAACACAGGCCTAAATCTTTGAAGCAGATGTTCTTTCCCTAGAACAATTGTAGACTGAGGGAGGACAACCTTCAGTTTTCACTCTTTGTCCTTTCCAAGCTGTAGTCCAGATATACCACCTAGGGAGTAGTACTTGATACGGATGGACTAAGGGTGGTGGTACAAAATGGAGACTATGCTGGATTTCAGGGTTTTCTTGAGAAGTTTTAATAAACGGATCCAGATTTCCTACTACCCGAAAAAAAAAAGAGAAAGAACCTTTCTGTAGTAAAGTCACAATGACTAAATTTTTGTTGTAAGCAACTCAATGGATTTACAACAGATAAAGCTACCGAGTCAAATGCTGGGTTTCCAGTTATACAAGGCAATAATTTCTCAGTATTATTTAAGTCACTCTGAGACAAATTTCTATACTTGTACCCTAAGCTGGTAAAAGTCTTCTTTCTTGCATGTTTTGAGTGACTTTTAGTCAACAATAAAATTAAATCTAGGCAGGATTTACTTTTTTGATAATACATTAATTTAAAAATAAAACCACCCCAATTGAAAAACTCCATTTCAATATTATAAGTGATAATCATACATGATTTTGTTGTTTCCTACTAAAGATGACTTTACAAGCTGTTCTGAGAGGGTTCCTTACTTTTGCAAATTGCAAAAAAGAATGCCTACATTTTAAATAAAAAATGTAGATGTTTTATTACTTCATTTCAATGTTTTTTTCTTTATAACTAATAAAATATTTTTTATTATTATTAAGATATTTATGTAGTAAGTTAAAAACAGAAAAAAATAAAATAACCTCATCTTTTCCTCCATTTATCTTCTCTCAAGGGAGTATGGCACAGTATTGTTTCACATGTTTATAAAAATTAAATGCCAAAAGTTGGGCGTGGTGGTGCACACCTGTAGTCTCAGCACTTGGGAGGCAGAGGCAGGTGGATCTCTGCGAGTCCAAGGCCAGCCTGGTCTACATAGTGAGTTCCAGGACAGCTGGGGCTACAGGGAGACCCTGCTTCAAATAGACAAAATAAATAAATAAATTAATTAATTAAATGATCAAATTATAATTACATGCCAATTTTTAAAAAGATTATTTTTAATGTGTATATGTGTTTGCATATATGTATGCTCACACTTGTGTGAGTGCCCTATAGAGACCAGATGATGCCATCGGATCCCCCTGAAATTGGAGTCAAGGAGGTTATTAGCTGCCATATGGGTGTTGGGAACCAAAACCAGGTCCTCTACAAGGGTAGCCAGTGCTTGTAACTGCTGAGCCATCTCTCCTGTCCCTACATGCCAATTTTTAAATATAAGAAACTTTTTAGGATGCTTTGAAGAAACAGTAGTTCTATGAGTCCTTTTAATTTGCTATGAAATCTTTCTTGACTACCAGTAGCTTCAGGTATATAGGTAAGCATACAGGTATACAGGTTAATTCCAAAGCAGGTTCTCATCTTTCTGTTTCCATACACAAAGGCATACTGTAGCTATCCAAATCACAAAGTACTCACACCATGAAATCCAAGATTCTGAACCAGGTATTTTAAAGGACTCATCGAACCCTGAAAGGAAAATGCTACCATTCAAGCTGTAATCATGTGCTACTTGGGTTTTATAGACTAGGAAAGAATACTGTATTTTTCACCACAAGCAACATCCTAAACAAATGCCCCAAATATTTTTCAAATGTATGAATGTAGACCAGCTTAAGCACTGCCCTATTTAAATTATGTTCTTCTCTTTATGCTACTTCTGTTTGATAAATGGGTCAATAAATGCCAAGTCAAATATTTAAGTAAATATATTTTCATTGTTATTGGCAGACATATAATTAACTCTGAGAAAAAAGACACAAGGAATCAATTTATGATTACTTCTTTAGTTCTTCCCATTAGTCATTTACATTATAACTGTAGTTCCACTTTTAAATCTTTATACACATACCATCTTGACTCTAATTATAAATCAAATTACTTCAATTACAAATTAGTGCTGTATGAACTGTGACCCTCATATGCTAGTTTTATTAGTAAGATATAATTATATTATTACCCATGTACAAGAGCTGATTAAAAAGCAATACACATTTATGAGCCTATATTAATTGGTAATTTCAACAAATGTTTCTAAACAATATTAGAGAGCTGTTGTGTCTTCTCTCTAGTACAAACAATCACATCAGCATTTTCTTTATATGTGACATCAACATCACATTTTCATTTTTCAATAAATAGGCTGCTAATAAAGAAAATATTACAAAGAGTAATAATTTTTCTTACAAAGGAAACATTACAAAGAGCAAACATTTCATTTAAAATAAAGCATTTACTATCTATCAGGTCAGTATCTTCTCCAATCCCAGAAAAATGCATTTTATACAAAAACTTACATAAGTGACCTTTAAAACAATACTGTCCCAGACGTAAAGCTTCAGATGTATTATTATATGTCATGAAAAATGTTCAAGATTAGCTCAAGAAATTCACTTTAATAAAATGTTTGCCTTACTCAGTTGCTACTTTTATTGTGGTAGTTTATTTGGCTTTATATTCTATACCATGGACAAGTCACTTAACCTCTCAGCTTCTTCACCTATAAACAGGGTTAATGTTGGAACCCTCTCTCAGGATTCCTGTTAGGGTTAGAGGTAACACAGTCTTTAGAATAGTGCCAACATACAAACACTGTTAGGTGCACAAGACCTGAGGGTGTGTGAGTGCATGCACGTGTGTCTATGTACTTATCTGCTGTCCGTCTTTGTGTGTGTGTAGCCTATTACTTCTGTTAGCTTCTACTTGCCAGTTCTCAAAGTACCTTAATGCTTCTTACTGGGAAAAGAAAGGTACATTTTTGTCATGCTTTGCCCATCCCACCACTTTTAGCACTGTCATAGGAGACAGTTTCTTTTCTGCTCATAGGCAAAATAGGAGCTAGGGGCTCACTGAACAAGAGTTCTATTTTCTATTTTAAAAGATGGCCAGTTTCTTAGTTGAGAGAGAAGGATGGCAAAGGCTGGCCAATCAGTCCTCAGTTACAGTTAGGAGGAATAACTTCTGAGGTTCTATTTTGCACAGCAGGATGACTATAGTTAATAAGGTATACTCTTAAAAAACTCAGAAGGATTTTTAATGTTTCATCACAATGACATAATAAATGAGCAAATACAGTAATCTGATTTGCACACTATAAAAGGCACACACATAGAAAAATAACATGCCACCCATAGACATGCACACTGTTCAGCAGAAGTCTAAAGGCTTCCGCTGCTATCAGACTTAGTGTCCACTGAATACACTGGGTGCTGTGTGCACAGTGTTTGCTCAATAACAAATGCAATGAGAATAAAGATGGATAGGAAAAATATTCAGATATATCACTCTCAAAGTAACAGGGGCTGTGAACACAAGTGTGCATTGTAATTTAAAAGAAGAGTTGTACAGAGATGTCTAGGGAGGGCTTTTATGGATGACGTTTGAGCAAGATGTGGAAAAAAGATTGGAAGCTCACCATGTGGCAAAGGCGCCAGGATTGGTTTATTCACAATGGAAATTGAAAATTCCTCACAGTGGCAAGCTAAAACAGATATATTTGGAGTAAACAGACTTGCTCAAACAGACTACCTATGCACACTGCTCACTTAATTCATCTTCAGGTACTGAAACCATACATCTGCTCCTTCCCACAGTGAGGCTTTCAACATGATGTACTGGATTGACATCCATCTTCACTATCTGTTCCCTTCCTCCTAATCAGACTGTAGAAATCTTTCTAAAAGCACGTTTATCATATCTCTCCTTAATCAACTGGCAACACTTTTCTCCCATTCTACACCCTAGTCCTCTGCTTTGGACCGGATTTCCTTCCCAACATGCCCTACCCACTACTATAAATGTTTTCTCCTATTTCTCTTTGCCTCTCCAAAATTCTACCCACACTTCAAAATCTTTCCTCAAGAAGCTATCAGACTCTCTTTGTGCTATTTAAAAAAAAAAAACAAAAACCCACAACTTTACAAGTGCTGCAGAAGAGAGAAGCTAGCAGGAAAAGAATGGTTTTGGGTGAGACATGTTCACAACGTAGTAGAGAATTGAAAAGCAAAAGGCAGAGAGAGTCATTTGAAAGATACATTCAATCCATTACAACCACACAGCACACTTAAATTATTCATTATTCAAAATTTATATACTGCACCAGCTACTTATTGAACAATTATTCTTTCAATGACATTGTGCTCTTTTAAAAAACTTCAACCATCCCACAAAATGGACAGTCAATTCTTTGTTACTTAATGTCAGATTCTTAGGGCAAGTTCCTATTAAAACTGAAGCTATCATTAGATTCAAAACTTTAAATATTACTAGTCAACACAGAACTACAGTATATAATCTTCCTAGTTGAGGGACAAGAGGTTAAACAGTAAAATGTTCCCCAAAGTCAAGTTCAGATATTTCCCAAGTAATACTTAGCATGCTTTATGTATCAATACCTTAGCTTCCAACTTGACTTTCTCTTCATTCAGTGCCTCCGTTGCTTGCTTAACTTTTTCACGACATCTGGCTATTTCTGACCTTACTGCAATACAAATTAAATCTTTGATCGCATCCATCTTTCTCAGGTCCCCATCTCAGACGTAGTTGGCACGTGCCTTTTCAACTGTCTTTCCTGCCAGATGGAAAGCAAACCTCCTTCCCTAACAGCTCTGGACCTTGGACCTTCACTCTTCTGCCCCAAACACCCATCTCCAGAAGGCAAAGACCCCCCCCCCGCCCCTGCCAAAAGGACAGAGCACCTCACCTTCTCGCATCTCTCTACGACTCTTCTCAGCCTGATGCTCAGTGAAGATGATGTGCTGAAAAAAGGACTCTAAACTCATCTCGGGGGCCTGGCTCCTGCAGATCCTTTGTTCGCCCTTAATATTTTATAGCCGCATCTGAGGATCTTAGAAAGGAGAATAAAGAAGGGTTCTTCCAGGACTGCTCCCAGCTAGGCCCGCCTCGAGCTCCCATCTCTGCCCACTCAAACCCTGGCAGGTTAGCCCCGTCTCTGCTTCGCCATTCTGCTTCCCTGTGGCTGCCCTGGACCAGGCCCCAGGCTTCCCTGGAACAGACCCCCAGCTCCCCTAAGCCTGGTGTCCCCTGGACCAGACCCCGGGCTCCCCGGGCCAAGCCTGGGCTCCCCTAGATCAGGCCCTGGGCTCCCCTGGACCAGACCCGGGCTCCCCTAAGCCCGGTGTCCCCTGGACCAGACCCCAGGCTCCCCGGAAGCCTGGGCTCCCCTAGACCAGGCCCTGGGCTCCCCTCGGCCAGGCCCGGGCCCCCCTAAGCCAAGTGTCCCCTGGACCAGGCCCCCGGCTTACAGCCTTTCCCAAAGTGTGCTAAAAACAACACCTGCTGACAAAACCAGGGTCAGACTATTTCGTCGTGCCGAGTTCAAGTGAGGAGGCAGCTGAGGCGGCAGCGTGGACCTTGCGTCTGGGGAAAACGTAAAGTACGGGAGCTTGCTGGGACCATTCTGCACCCATTCTGCCGCTCCGCGGTTTTAGGCCCTAATTGAGGTGGGGCGCCCAATGTCCAAGACACAAACACCCAGTATTCTAAAGTGCAAAGTACCCTGATTCTAAATATAAACTTTTGTCAAGTCTTATCCTCTGAGGATAGCAAAGACTGCTATAAATGTGCAACGTCTGACATTTCTCCTTAATCATTCCTTTGTAATCAGGGCATATCTTTTTTGTCTACTTTGAAATTAATCATTGCCTTTTGTAATCAAGCCTCGGTAATATTAACACTTCAGTGTCTGCACAATGTGTGTCAGAGAACAAAGTGTTTGCTAATGAAAACTTAAATGTGAAAGGCACCTTTGGAATCTTTGCATGAGATTTTTTTTTTTTAATTAAAAAATTTCAGTTTTCGTAGATCAAAATATTGACACTATAAATATTTGACTTTATTCTGAATGTAAAATTGACATTGGTTCCACTTTTTAAAAGTTACTTCTAGGGACTGGAGAGATGGCTCAGGGGGAAAGAGCATTGACTGCTCTTACAGAGGACCGGGGCTCCATTTCCAGCACCGACATGGAGGTTACGAACCGTCCTTGGCTTCAGTTCCAGGGGAATCCGAAGCCCTCTTCTGACCTCTGTGGCATTGCACGACACGGGTGCACTCACATACATGCAGGCAATACACTAATACACATAAAATAATAATAATAATAAATAAAATATTTAAATAGAATACCGGTTAAGATGTTTTTAAAAAGTTATTTCTAGCTTAAATGTACTTAAAATTAAGTAAAATAAGATAAATGCAAATTTTTGTCACACAATAGGCTTAATTATTGTTTCATTAATGCTGTTGTGTAATCAGTTATAAGTTTTAACCTCTCCCAACTTTCTACCTGAATTTCAATCAAATCATGTCAGCATAAAATACAATGCTGTAACTTTCAGAAAAGCTGTAATGAAGTGGAAAAGAATTACCTGCAAGCATATTCAGAAGCAATTATTAATAAAAATTTGCCTATTGTCTTTTGAGTAACCCTCCTTGTCAATAATTTTTCATTTATAAAGTCGAAGTTATATTGTGGATAAGTAATAATGTTTTTTCAGTATTTATGTTTTCATATGGTTATTATGTAAGGTAATGGGCTGCATATTTACTAAGCACTATTCCGAGCAGCCTATATCCTTTTGACGTGGTTTTTGTTGTATCTTTCATAATACAGCTAAGGAAACTAGGCACAAAGCGCAGCAATGAAAAAACTGAATTCAGTGAACAATTTAGTTCAGTCATCATCTGTGAAATTATTGTTTTTGTTACTTGGAAGATTGGGTCAGTGAGGGCTAAGCAGTTTGTCCAACATCATGCACAAGGTCTAGAATGCAGCTGAATCAAGATTTGAACCTCTGTCTTATGAAGATTGCATACTTTATACATGGCAGAGAACTGAAACCAGGAAATAAGGGATTCGAAGCCATGAATTCAATTTTGTATTTGGCTATATTTTTTCTCTTATTACATTATAAGCCCTTATTGTTTCATTTAAAGCTCTTCATATATATGTATATACATATATACATTATATATATACATTATATATATATACACACACACATACACTACACTCTCCTGTGTGAGGCAATGGCTGCCCAAGTTTCACTCTGTCAAGTGAATATATCTCTATATCTCTATCTATCTATCTATCTATCTATCTATCTATCTATACATATCTTTTTGAGACAGGGTCTACCTGTAGCTACAGCTGGCCTCAATCTCACAGAGATCCTCCTGCCTCTGCCTCCCAAGTGCTGGGATTAAAGGCCTGCGCTGCTACGCCTGGCCTTAAATAGATTTTTACAATTCACAATCTTCCATTTTATGTATGCATGTACATAGTTTAGATATACAGAAATAAACCTATTATATCTATTCAAGGATGGAAAGTGAAGCTGATTATGGTTTAAATCATTTTTTGAAACTCATTTGGAGGCTCTTGAATTGTACCACAGTGGCCATCAACGGAAAGGGCTTCCAGTAGATAAATTACATTACTAATTAATATCACTCCCTTCAGAATTATTTCCTGTGGACTTGTGTAGGGAGCACCCTCACAGGGAGGCTGGCTTTCAAAAACATGTTTTGTTTTTAACATTCTAGTTTTATTAGTTATACTCAAATTCCATTTATTATTTAGCATGCTCTATCAGTACTGAAACTTGGCAGAGCAAAATTTGGGCAGCCTCTGGAAGCCTGATTGCCTCACTCATACAGGAGGTAGAAGAGAGAGCTGCTGTAATTTCAAGAGAAGGACAATAGGGAGAGCATCTTTATGCTCTTCAGTCATTTTCACACCCCAGAACATTCTAGTGCTTTTAAATTTTATTAGAATCTTCTTAGAGGTATTACAACTACAGACATTAACAGGGTTTTAAATTTTAATTTTGTTTATTGAAGCAAGCATAATTATACAAGCCCACAATTCAAATTTTACATGTTTCATAATAATGAATAAAAGTAACATATTAAGATATTAAAATCCAGCTTTAGTCATACATTTTATGTAGTGTTAAGATTGTTTTTCTCTTGTTGCCATGTATGCTGATTACATCTCATAATGTACAGAGCAAGAGTGGCATTATTTAAATTTATGCCAAATAAAAATGGTATATGACATGATAAAACTTTGTGGGCACACTATTTTCTGAAAATGTATCTTCTAAGTCTAAAAAAAGGAAATGATTCATTGAACAACTGTTTAATGAGTTTCTGCTTTTCATTCAGCATTCATTCAGCAAATATTATTGAACATATCCTATGTGCCATATTAGAAAAACAACAACAAGATTTAATAAAAACAGAGCTACATAAAAAACATTTTTCTTCCCCTGGATAATTCTAATCTCATTGGAGAATTATTATATTTTCAGCATTTTGGCAGCAGCATAAACAACTGCTTTCAGATGTTTCAGCAGATGTTTTTTAGAAAGAAAGTCAATTATTCACATTATGATATCCACATATGATTCTCAGATCTAAACTTTCCATCTGTACATGTTTTACTGAATAGCCTACCTATGGAATATAAAAGTTAAGATCACTCATTGTCTTTCACCCTCAGACTTTTGCTATAATCACACTAGCACCTGGGCTATGGAGTCATCAATAATTGCTTTGCTAGAAGGCCTTATATAAGAATATATTGCTCTTGTGATTTAAAATGTATTTCCTCTCCTTTCTAAGATTGATGACTTCCCTAAGTTCTAAACCAGGTTTGCAAATACCCAGTAGCCCAGGGCATATATATTTCAATGGGAAGAAGAAAAGTAATTCATTTATTTTATGTTTTTCTTGGGGCATCTACAATAAAGAAAAAAAATGTGGGTGCAACCAAGTTTAACAACCATTTATTGAGTGTCTACTAAGTGTGAAATCCTCTCCTGGGTACCAAGGAGAATACGAAGTTGAAAAGATGCCAGCCCTGCCCTCCTGGAGGTCATAGTCTATTAAACAGGGAAGAGGTCACACAAAGAACTTCCGAGTAAACAGTATATAAGACTGTCACACTTCTCCTATGAAAATTCAGTGGGGAGGGGAGAACAAGTCTGATATAGACAATCTAGGAAGACCTACTAGGATATTTTAAAAGGAAGCTAGACTTTCAGTAGAAGGAAGGAAAAAGCAGAAAATTAGATGGGAGCAATATTTGTAAGACGTTTAGCATTGTCATGTGCATGACATAAGACTATTTAATACTTTTGAGCAGGTGAGTGAATGGAATGTCCAACTGCTCTATATAATAAATTCATGGCACTGGGTTAGAAGCATTGAAAATAATGAGACTGCCATTTTGCCTGTTTTGAATATCTTGCTGTCTTAATCCATTTGGACTGTTATAACAAAGTACCACAAACTGAGTAGATTATAAAAATTGGAAATTTATTTCTCAAAGATGTGGAAGTGGTAAAGTTGAATACTGAGGTACCTGCAAATTCAGTGTGAGCTGGTTTCCTAGACAGCTACTCTCTTCCTCCTCACAGGGTCAGAGGGACTAACCTGCACTGTGAAGTCTTTTTCATAGGGACGCTAATTTCAATTACAAGAGCCCCACCCTCATTATCTAATGAGCTCCCCAAAGTAACTCATTCAGTAGGGGTTAAAATTTAACAAATGAATTGGAGAGGAAGACACAAATATTCAGACAATTGTGTCAAAAAAATATCAGAGCCCATGGCATGAATGACTTAATGAACACAATAACCCTATGAGAACAGTGCTTTACTATTTGGAGGACTGGAGAAGAGCTAAGTTATCCACAGCACCCACAGGAGCAAGGAGGCAGCAGAATCAGAATTCTAATCACCATCATTTTTAAACTTTTTTTTTTCGGTCTTTTTGAGACAGGGTCTCCCAGTAACCACAGCTGACCTGAAACTCGCTTTGCAGACCAGGCTGGCCTTGAACTCAGAGATCTGCTTGCCTCTGCCTCCCAAGTGCTGAGATTAAAGGCACATGCCACTATGCATGGCCACTTCTTAATTTTTTAAAAACTAATATTTAATTAAGTTTTTAAATTTTTCATACAATATATGTTGATCGTATTTAGACCCCCTCTCCTATCCACACCCTTCTTGTAGGCCCTCCCCACCCCCATTAGATTTCTTGCACTCTGTCATATACATTAAGGCTTATTGAGCCATGTTTGCGTCCCCAAATGAACTTCGATGTGGGTCCATCCACTGGGGCCTGGCTCACCTATCCAGTGTCATAACCTTAGAGAAAACCAGCTCTCCCTCTTCCAGTAGCTGTCAGTTGCCAATGATTCCTCAGCTAAAGTTGGGGCCTCTTACCCACTTACCCACTTCTATGCTGGGATTTTTGTCTGGTTGAGCTTGCATGGGCCTTGTGCATGCTCTTACCATTGCTGTAAGTTCATATGAGTAACTTCCCAGGAACACTGGAATACTGTTTCCT